ATCTAAACGCCAGTAGATCTGGAACACCGGCAGTTGGTCGTCCAGGTGAGATCCTCGAAGTTGGAAATTTTTTCCAACTTCTAAAAAAAACTATTTTATTTTTGTTTAGTTTTTTACAAATGTTTCCCCTGCTATTCTCCAGTCACACTACAGTCCAGAAGGCAGTGATAAGTTGGCCGACCAACCCAGAAACAGACGAAGAAGAGGAGGAGGAAAAGAGGCCTCAGTAAGAATTTTCGATTAGATTGCTTCATCATGTTGGATGGTTGGGGCAGCTTCACGAACAAACATTAAACAATCCGAGATGGAGGCAGTGAATTTAACATTCATTAAGCTAAATCTTTTAATCTGTATTCGCACTGTGGTGTATTTAGGACTTGCTAAATAATCCGTGCACAGAGCAGTGACCAAGCTCTATTAATAAAGAAGCTGCAGAGGTGTTTTTACCCACAACAAAGGTAGCATTGCACCGCTCTGCTGCTGATCATTGAATGGCTTTTGCTTGTAACGAAGTAAAATAAAACTCATTGATAAAGCCGTCAGATGGCGAGAGAACAGCCAAACCTCCGAGGCATTTAAACGCATCACAACAGCGAATGCGGAAGTGTTTGTCCAAACTTATTTCCTGTTAATACGACTGCGATGGCTGCTGAAAAGTATCTACCGTTTTACTGGACTTTGCTGTTTGCTGTCGTCTGTGCAGGTTACATTTAGTTGTTATAAGTTCAAACATGTTATAAAGCTGCTGTTTTTCATCCTGTTTGTAACAAAGGAAAGTAGCGTTTGGTTTAAGAGTGACTCAGTTTCTGGCATCTCTGGCGGCACCTTTAGTTGCCACAACTTACAGCAGCTTTGTCAGTAAAGAGTGATGTTGAATTTAACTCCAGAGTAGGGCCGCCACGGTTCAACGAGTATCTTTTAAATTATAAAGCAGGCGGACTGCAGCCGTCCTATTTTACAAGGAGGGCATGAGGTGTAAATCAGATTAATTTCAACATGTAACATTTTTCAGATTTGAAAGTGAAACAATATAAAATACTGTCTCAATTAAATTGCGTTAGTATTTAAAAACATAAAAATAAAAGCTTTTTTTCCACGAGTGGTTAAATATGGGGGGGCAGGGATAGCTCAGTAGGTAGTGTCCATTCCCCTGAGCAAGGTACCGTCCTGCTCCCTGGGTGTCCAATGGCTGGCTGCCTCTTCACTGAGTGAATGGGATAAATGCAGAGAGGAATTTCCCCAAGGGAATCATAAAGTATACATTATATAAGTGGGCCAGTAAAGCTCTGAGCCGCTGAGCTGATGATTTTAGGTTAAACAGTGAATTATTGTTAATAATAATTAACGTCTACTTCATGATTGTGTCTTATTTTTAGCAGCACAAAAGCTGCATCAAAGAACAGGGCAAACTTCAGGATGCTGATATGCTCGTTTCTCTTCGCTGCAGCCTCCACACCCTCCTCTGAAGGTGTCCAGACACAAACTCACTCATTAACTGCACACACAACACACAGAAACACAAATCGGACTGATGAAACAAAGAACATTGCGATTTCTAAAATAGAAAGAAACGATCAGTCCATTTTTAAATGACCTGTATTTATTTCTTCTTTCTGGATAGAGCATGCCTGGTTCTTAGTGTTAGGCCTATTTACCACTGCTGAGGATCTGTGTCTGGAGGCGAGTGGGTAAACTGAGCCATGAACATCCTGCTGTATGCCCCCAGTTGGTTGAGGTGATGCAGGATGAAGTGCAGTCCCATACTGATGCATCCTCAGCTGACCTATTTGCTCAGTAGTGAACCTGCAGGATGTCCAGCACCGGCTCTGATGTCCTTCAGGTGTCTCAACATGAGTCTTTCAAAGGACGTCATGACCACAGACGTCAGGGAGACAGACCTGTAGTCATTTAATCCTGTGATAGTGGACTTCTTTGAGACTAACAGATTACAAGTATTACATTTTTACTATTGTTGTCATTCGCTGCCACCATCTCAGAGCTCTTTCTCTTTTCTGTGGGTGGTGCATGGTCATTGTTGAGTAGTGGCTCAGGTAGTAGAGAGGCTCATTTACCAACTGGAAAGTCAGGTGATCGATCACTGGCTCCTGTAGTCTGCGTGCCGAAGTATCCTTGGACAAGTATTTTCTCCTCAGGATGCTGAACCCTGAGTTGTTCTTGATCAGAGTTTGTAAGAGTGTGCAAATCTGAGAAAGCACTGAAGCGTAGAAAAAGTTATGACTGTGTGTGTGTGTGAGTCATCAGCTGAGGAGAAGGTTAGACGAGTAACAGTCGTATAGAAGGAAATGTGCTGTGAATGTATCAGATACACATCTGGATATCAGATAAAGAATAACTAAAAAGTTTTGGATAGTCTGAAGTTTGTTGACTGGCAGTTATGTATTTTTGTAGCTCATGCCATGTAATAGAGTAACACAGAAGTAATGTAACTAGTAGTTATGACTAGAACAGGGCGATATGACCAAAAATATTTATCATGATATACATTTGAAAATTTGCGATAACGATATAACTGACGATATAATTGACACTAGACAAAATACTTTACAACTCCTCAACTTTATTAGTGCAAAAAAAACATCAATATATTTTCACTTAAACAAGCAGCTGTTTTTATGTGCATTAAAGTTATATAAAAATGTAACAGTGCAAATGCAAATTCCTTGCTGACAGTTTAACCAAAAGGCATTTCCAGTGGAAACTGGCCGACATATCCTCAGCATAACCATGTATAATATCCACTAAACTTAGAAAGACCTTATACAAACACAATACGGTAATATTATGTTGAAGCACAGTACGTATCACTCCTCGAGGCTCCTGCCTACGATAGCCATAATGCTCCAACAATCCATCAAGCGGTGCGGGTTCCTAGCTTAGCAAAGTCGTACTAAAACATTTGACAGATTTTCGAGCGCCGTGTACATAAAATCGTTTCGAGGTCAGTAAACACAACCAGAATTCATACATAAGGCACACAGGATTATAAAGGGCACTGTCAACTTTCAGAAAAATCAAAGGATTGATTTTAAGTGTTCCATATTTTCGTATTTTCCAAACAACACGGTAATTACGACGGCCCGCTAGCATACTCTACCAAAAATAGTGCTTTGTTGTGTATCTGACGGACGAAAGCTAAACCAGTTCCACACCACTGAAGTTGCAGCATTTTTACAAACCAATTCTGGTTCATCTGTTTCATTCAACGATCCGCTTTCGCTCTTCTCATTCTCTGTCGCCGCCATGTGCGTATGTAAACAAAGACAGTGCGCATGCGCGTTTTACCCATATTCTATTGCGATATTTCATTTTCCTATTGTTGCCCAACATTACACCGGTATTACCGTGAATGGTATGATATAGCCCTAGTTATGACCCCAATAGTTGTGTGTTGGCAGCATGGGCGTGGAAGGGTTCTGATGAACTGTTTGACAAAGAAGTGTAATGTGTGTGTCAGTGTGATGTGTTGTAGTGTCAGGAGTCAGTATGCAGCTACAAAGCTTTTTGTTCAGTGTATACAAACAGCTGTAGCTCCATAAGGCAGCATGCAGAGACTCACAGTGTCTTATAATGAGAGGCTGCTTTCTCTCACACATTATGTTCACTTATTATCAGCACATGTGTGTGTGTGGTCAGTGAAAAATCAGTGATTTTGATCTGTGTCTGTTGTGTGGTGGATAGAGGTGTGTGTGTGTGTGTGTGTGTGTGTGTGTGTGTGTGTGTTGTGTGTGTGTGTTCGCAGAGTGCTGTTCTGGTGTTTGGTCTCCTGCTTGTAAATGAACAGTTTGTACTTTGACCTTTAACCTCTCTGCTCTGTGTTGTTTCCTCTTTCAGACCAGAAAACCATCACAGCTGAGCTCTGGACAGGACGTCACTCTGCCATGTCGAGCTCCAAACAACAACATCATAGCTGTAAAGTGGAGCAGAGCTGACCTGGGAGATGAATATGTGCTTTTGTACAGGGATGGCCGATTTGAACCAGACGATCAGCATCCATCTTTTAAGAACCGGGTGGATCTGCTGGACAGACAGATGAAGGATGGAGACGTGTCTTTGATTCTGAAGAATATGACGACTGCTGATAATGGAACATATGAGTGTCATGTCTTCATGAGAGGAGCAAACCGCAGGAAGAGAGGCCTTTTGAAGACTGACTATCACACCAGCACACTGAGAGTTGATCCTCCAGGTGAGTGAGTAGAGTTGAGTGTGTGTGTGATCAGAGGTGAAGCTGCTTCCTGGTTGTTGATGTTTGTTTCTAAAGATGTTGTTGATGAGACTTTGTAGAAAGCAGCTGGTCTGAGTGATGTGATCAGAGTGCAGTAGATAATGTCTGACAGCAGTTTGAAGAGGAAATGGATTCTGTTCTGTTCTTCACTCATCACCTACCTGACAGCTGACACCTCACACCTGTTTCTCACCTGCAGGTCAGACAGGAGGACACACAGAGGATGGAGGGAATTAGAGGACATAATGGAAGTCTGCAAGTTTGCAAGTCTGTCTGTTTGTTGTTTTGTTGACCTGCAGGAAACATAAAGAACAATTAGATCAGAATTCAAACCAGCCTCTTGTGATTCATCTGTAAGTCAAGTACAAATAAGGCAGAGAGTTAAGTTCTGAATAACAATAATTACTACAGTGTTTTTATTACAGCAGCATCAGATGTTTCCTCTGTGAAATGTTATGTAAGGTTTGTTGCTTTAACATTTATAAAGCTGCTCAGATACTGTTCATTTATTTTCTTTAGCTTTTCAATGAACTTCATTTTCTAACTGTTAATAAAGTTTTACTTGTATTAATATCTAATGTTTACTAATGTTTACTGATTCTGTCTTTTTTTAAAACTGTAATTTTTTTTTTAATCTGATGTTTTCTGACATGTTGAACCAGTGACTGTGTTCAACACCACCCATTCGATATGTGAGCATTTTCAGGCTCATTTCCAGTGAGTTTAGGCTCAGGTGAAGAATAAAGATGTCTAACATGATGACCTCCGGCTCAGACCCTTATGTTGTGCTTGTGGCTTCATTAAGCGATGACCTCCAACACTCGATGATGTAGAAGTTTCTAGTTTTGCATGAGCACCTTCAATTCCAGTATTCTTGACTGTGACAGTGACACCCACGCTTCACAAGACATTTCCACCATGTGGAGTTCAGCTGATCCACGTTTAAATGTTTACACATTAAAGATTTGGTATTTTGTGGGAATAACTGATCTCACATTTAAACCTGATAACTTACTGAAATCTGTATTTCAGCAGCTCCCTTTGACTCCACACTTGATTTGGAACATGCACATCCTAAAATGTGCGCTGCAGTATTTTCTGTAAATGAAATGACTTCGCCATAGAGCTCTGGGCAGTGTGAGGCGTCACCGTCACTAACAGATTTACTCATGTCATCATCATTCTTTCAGAATATAATAACTGAGCAGGGTGGTGTGTGCCACCCTAAAGTAATAGCTTGTCACCCTGTTTTGCATATGAGTTATTAAATAAGATAGCATTAATACTGTGAGCCTAGCTACAATTAACATTGAATATAAATTCTAAAAATAAAACTTCAGATCAAATACAAAACATGTCGAACATTTGTGCTGGAAAAAGTGTTGTTTGTGCTGATTTTGTTTTAAAGATATTAATAAAGGTTTAAAGGTCAAAGGTCAACCATTAGTGGTAGTGAAAAGTGTATGCCATCAATTTTGTTGATGGCATACACACAGGTGGAGTGATACACCTGTGCTCCTCTGTCTTGTGGTGGAAAAACTATTTTTTGCACCGGCACAAATAATTTGTGTGGCAACTTACAAATAAATGATTCTTTTAGACCATCCATCCATCCATCCATTCGCTACCGCTTATCCTTTTTCAGGGTCGCGGGGGGCGCTGGAGCCTATCCCAGCTGTCATGGGGCGAGAGGCAGGGTACACCCTGGACAGGTCGCCAGTCTGTCTTTTAGACCATCACTCTTATATTCTTAACAATTCTTCACATTTTTTGTAGATTATTTAAATTTAGATTATTTTTTCTGTGTTCAGAGGTCAGGGTTCAGTATTTGTTGTAATGCAATCCTTAAACTACGAGAGTTGCATACAGCGTTTGTGTTTTGTAATTTTTTAAAATAAAGATTTTTTTTTTTAAAGATACACAAGTCCACTCTAAAAACTGCAACCGCGCATCTCCGCGCATTACTGGGCACGTCTACAAGGACATGGTCAAGATCATCCAACAAGAATTACTTTCTAATCCTGCTGGGAAACAGAGAATTTGAGCTTTAGGTGGACAGTGGGACACAAAGTAGCTGAACTTAATCTGGACAAGATCAACATGAGTCAAACAGTAGGATTACCTACCTACATACCACCATGGATACTCCCTGATGCAGTCGTGGATTTCACACTATTGAACAAACAAACAAGGATATGGGTTTTATCTCACATACACGTGCAGCAGAGGACAGGAAACAATAGAACATGTTTATTGCATTGTCAAAAATATGATGCTGAAAGAAGTCAGTTGATCAAAAAGCTTGGAAGTGAAAGTTATCAGGACATATTTTGGTTTTTATTGTAGACTCATTTGTTTGGGAGGAATTTTTTTTTTTTT